TGAATTTTTTTTACTCGTATGGTCAATATCCTCAAAAGAAAGAATTTTTAAAATTATTAAGGAATATTTCATTAAAGTTTACATTCAATAAACAACTACTTCAAGGATATTTTTCAAGTACATGTGATCATTACTGTATCCAATATAGAGTTTTTAAAAGCAAAAAGAAAACATTAAATTTGTTATTAAAACAATTTAAGAAAACTGATTTTAATTATAATGATAAGCTAATATATATTTATAATATTTATATATATTATATTATAATATTTATATATATTATATTATAATATTTATATATATTATATTATAATATTTATATTTTCAAGTAAATATTTTATTTTTTTTAGTGGGATTCATTCTATTATTTAATCTATCATATTTAAGCATGAGGTCTATAGCTTGGGCTTTCTTTGCCGGTAACGTATGACAAAGGCACGTGTCATGTCCATCGGTAGCATCGTCGTTGCTCCAGGGGCACAGCTTATAGTGAAACACGAACTTTTAGTATTGAAGCTCCTTTTCCTCCAGATCCTCCAAAATAACCATGAGGTTTTCCAGGATTTTAAAATGCTCATCGAAAATCATCTCTTCGAATTGACTAAGAACGAGAAGGGACGTGTGAGAAGCTTCTTACGCGTCACAACTTTTATACCCGGCACTCAGGACTACATCTGCACCTTAGCGGTGTTTTGTCAAAGTTTAAATTTTTTCTTCATCTATCATCTTCATCTACAACACTTCTCACACCAACACGCTCCGTTAGCTCGCCGCCCTTCCCTAGACCCACACACTGCAGACTCGCGGCAGAGGCAGCGCCCGCACACACAAAAAAAACAAATATAAGCTGGGGTGGGTTAAAAGTCGGAATAGACATCGGCAGGGGGAGGGCAGAGGCAGGGGCCGAGTGAAGCAGAAGCACAGTGTGAATGAGAGAATGTAAAAAGAACAACAAAAGCTGCGGGACAGGGTGAGTTTAGCCACTGGAAATTAATTTCTCCATTGTGGCTATAATAATGATCCAATCGGATCCCAATTTGGTGATCCGATAGATATGGTCATTCCCTACGGAATGGTTTTAGTTTTCTTTTATCTTCAAAATTGTAGATTTGGAAGGTTTTCGCCCTTTTTCGGGGGCGGAAGGGGGGCGTGGCTCATTTTGGAAATACACTGGTTTCAGTGTGAGCATACAGCAGTCTGGAGCCAACATTTGTTGGCTCTAGCTCTTATAGTCTCTGAGAACTAGCCGACAAACAAGACGGACAGACGAACAGACAGACATGGCTCTATCGACTCGGCTATTGATGCTGATCAAGAATATATATACTTTATGGGGTCGGAAACGCTTCCTTCAGTGTGTTACATACAACCGTTATTCGACACAAATACAATATACCCTATTTACTCTTCGAGTACCGGGTATAAAAAGTTGTATTTGATTGTATCATTCATAAATAATAAACAATAATAACATAAAATAAATAAACCGTGCTATACCATTTATCTCTTTCTAACTCGCAAATGTATTTATGTTTTAACCTGGTTCCTTTTTTTTATTTACATGAATATCAAGTTGTCTCTTTTCTCTTATGTATAAGAATTGAATCCCTTGAATTCTTTATTTATTCTTTACTACAAATTGGAAATGGGGAGTGCTAGTCATCTCTTTTCCTTTATATATAAGATGTGAAATTCCATGTTCCTTTAGCATCTTAAAGGGTGTTTTTGTGGAAAATTTGGTTACATAACTTTTAGGTAAAAATATCCAAAGCGGCTCATTGTCCTTATCGCTTAAATAAAGGACTACCTTTGTTCCAAATAATGTTTTTTTAAGTTTACATCCATTGATCTTGTACGCAAATCCTATACATAGATCTTCAACCTTGGTGTATCCAATCGCCAGTTTTATCTCGTTAAGTGTTTCTAGGAACGCCTATGCATGTACATGTTTAATGAAATTTTGATTATCCTTTTATATATCAAAAATGCTTACATACCGTTATAAAAATGAAACTATTCAAACTAAACAATGTTTTATACTAAATTATATAATCATGATTACATGATCTTTTATACTCTCATTCGTCTTTTCTTCTAAAATGAGATATATTGGCTGATTGGTTCTTGCGGTAGGTATATAGTTGTAATCATGTAAAAGATGTGAGAATAGGATTTCAAATATTATATTTTCTGTCTTTATATACATACATACATGTATACGTATGTACATATACCATTCAAATGAAAACATTATATATGCTCTATAAAAACATCTAACTCTTAAGATACTTTACTTTATTTGCTATTCGAAATGAGTGAATTTCATTGCGAGTTGTGTTATATGAAAAGTAGTTTTAGGTCCCGCAATGGACTGAAACATCACGTATTAAAAATTCATAACTTCAGTTATTAAAAATCAAAATCATAATTTTACCAATGTTACTTATGTCCCGGCGCTATAAAGTTTTGTCTGAGATTTGACTTCAATACGCATGTTTTATCAAAGCATAACGAATATTCAAAACAATTACACAATGAATAAAATATTAAGAAATAAAATAAATATGTACATTTCACTGGTGAAATATGGTGAAATTCAAACAATACATTCAATAGTACCAGCATTCTACCTAAAATCTACTTATTCTTTTTGTGTAATCCTCCCTTAGAAAAAAGCATGTTGGAAACGAATCCTATGAGTCTCTTGGTGGAGTGAAATTTAATAATAAATATAATAATAATAATAATAAATAAATAAATATTGTTTTAAATTTATATTGTATTTATTATATATTATATATATAAAATTTACAGAAAAAACCATTAGCACCATTAAACCATAAAACCAAAAGAGATAAACGATCCCAAAATAAAATAGTGGCGCAGATTCATTTTAAAGGGACGGGATGAGACACTTGCTTGAGGGATGTTTGATTCGTTGCAGGGAACCAATCACATAAGCAGAGAGAGGGATAGTAGTTTGATGGATTTGATGGATTATTGATCATGGATTTTTTGACAACGTTAGTTCACATCTTGACCGCATTGGTTAGACTCGCAACAAAGTAGCATTCGATATAGGAGTGTAGTATATTTACCATAAGTCGAATTGATTAATTTTTGTCTTCTCATCCTTTACGACTTCATTCTTGATGTGAGCTCTTACCATGCAATCATCCATGTAGCCATTTAAAAACCACGATTTTACATAATATTTCCAAATGATTGGCTAAATATTAGACCCTGAAATCATTTACATATATTCAAAATGTAATGTTAATAAATATTCTTAAAGTATGTGTTTTAACATGAAGTAACAGATCCTATAAGAATTTATTTCTTAATAGGAATGTAAATGGTGGACACTAAAAATATTTTTGTTGAAAGTAGCAGCAGCGAGTTAGCCAGCGGACCGAATAAACTGAAAAAAAACCCTACCTGATTTAAAAAATTCTTTAAAAAAAAGTACTGCGCAGAAAAGAATTGTCATCAGACCATTTCTGACCCATATCTGTGGCATTTCCAGGGTCACAAACGTTTCAACCATAAAGAATAGTACTCACAATTCGATCTGAGGATCGAAAAAAGGGGCCGAAATAATATAGAAAGTCAGACGATAGTACTTTTTGGTATCGATAGTATTTGTGTGGTATTCGTTGGTATGTTGCTAGCAGCTCGAAAAATAAAGATCTGTTTTAATTTCCGAGAGGGTTCCTAGCAAAAAGAGAGTATAGTCTCAATGAAATGGAGGCAACAGTGGATGTTGAAAGATAAATGACCACCGTGCTTCTAAAAGAGCTTCAGGCCATCAAACGGCAAAAAAGGAAACAATTATTATAGATTAATGAGATTATATTGAATTTATTTGCATTTCTAATTTGTTTAATTTATTTATGTTGCCAAGACACAGTCCCGGCTGGACTGTTAACAAAATCTTTTAAGTTGATTTCCTTTTGGACTAAGTACTGCTCCACAGGGTCGTGCCAAGGGGCGAAGGCGGCGATTTGGACTCAAAACTATTCAATTTTGAATAGGAAGGGCGCCGTTTTACAACTTTGATTTTTACAAAGGCCTTGCTGCTCTACCAATCAAAGAAGTCTGTAGATGTTATTCCCAGCCATATGCAAAGGGTATCGTTTCATGGGTTTCCATAAATGTACACACATTTATATGAGTTATAATATAATGTACAGAAAAACGACCGTTCTGGTTTCTTTCCTGCAGATATGGGTTTAATCAAAGTTGTCGTGGCTTATTTCGTTGAGTGTTCTGCTCCTCCGGTAATGCAAGAGCCGCCTATCCCACTAAAAGTAATTTCCTGCATGGATCCATTTTGCATTCATTGTTTTATTAACCTCTTATTCAATTTTTACACATTTTCAAAAAGGTAAACAAAACAACACAGCTGCCTGAGAAGTGTAACCGTACGGAATGCAGTTTTCACCTCTGGTCACACTCTGCTTCTAGGAAAAAATATTGTGCATTTTTTTAGCAAGTTTTTTTTCGATCTGAGTACTAGGCTTACAATTGTATGTTCCCCTTTAACTCTTCGAGTAGAGGGTATAACTAGGCCACCACGTAATTCTCTTTTTACCTGTTTTGTGTAAAATAAAAAGTTTAGATGTTCAATTTGGTTTTCGTTTTTTGGATGTTTATATTTATTGCACAGTACTCTATTTCAGCTTTAAAATATAAATTGATTAATATTCCTCTCTAAAAATAATTTAAATAGTCTTACAATTATTAAGTATTATATCTCTGTATTATAAGAAGGTAAGTTTTGTTAATATATGTATGTAGACATTATATATAAATAAATATACCTATACATATGTACTCTAATATATATTAACAGAAATTACACTTTTAAAAATAATATACAAAATTTAAAATTTGATTATTCAAGGTATTTGCTTGAAAAGCTGTACGCCTGTAGTGGTAACAGGAATTATAAACATGCGCAAGCATACAAACGCCAAACGTCTTTCTAGAAGTTTGTATTTGTGTATGAAATGAGGTGAACTAATCTTTTATAATATTTCCATGTGTATACTATAGAAGCGAAGGTTACGCCCACTAGAGAACACTAGCATACTTTTGGTTAATATAAGCTTTGGTATGGTAATTGTAGGTTCTTATTGAGGCCGCCAATGTTTGAATTAATTGTTTGTCCCTCTTTGTAGATGGTTCAAATGAATCAATCCCGCTGCCACTAAAAAAATATATAAATGTTAGCGATTTTACATATAGATATACAACTATCAGATAGAACTTACAGATAAACGATGTTTGTAAAATTTTATTGTTTTTATTTGTTTGTAAAAACCATGAAACATTTAAACCTATTTCCGAGTTTTGATCTTCCTCGTTACACTTCGCGTATTTTTGGTTTGGTGCAACCCTATCTCTTTGTCTCTCATGCCAAGCAAAACTCAAACTCGTAAATAATAATGCTAGTCTTTTAAAAACCTAGCTTAATTTTCTGTCTTCCGAATCAGGGATGAAATTCCTATGCAAACGATAAGAAATCATCCCTTTTTTTCTTTTCCCAGCCAACTTTTTGCATTTGAGTACTCAGATCAGCGCAAAATATACCAAAAAACCAGCTGATTAAATACGAGCATCGTGATGCGAAAAAAATAATGTTTCTATCTCCTGTCAACAGAAGACACACGCATACTCAAAAATGGAAGGTAACAAGCTGATATTGGATGTGTTGAAATATAACTGAATTATACATGTTAATATATATATAAAATAAATAATTAATATTCAAAAACAAAAATAACGACTACTTTTAAGTACTATTAAAAATCGAACTAATAAGCTAATTATATTATCACTGACTACGCAGAACCCTTTCACTCGCGCCTATTAACAATATAGATAGTTAACTACTTTTGCCGACGAGACCACCACAATTACACAAATTGCATCGCCGGTCGGCGTATATTTGCAAACACATTAAAACTATTCAAGCGATTCATACCTGATATTTCGTGTACGAAGAACACGTTCCGCCCATGTCTGTGGTCTTGGTATGTCACGTGCCACTCCAACTTGCTTCTTATCAATATAGTCAATTACATCATCATAATAATTGGTTCTGTAGTTATACATATATTTGTATTGTAAAAACTTTGGCCTGCAACAGTAAAAATTACAATAAATTATTTTGAAACAAAAATGCGGAGGTACATTTGCTACATTTTTGCTACATCTGTCATTTAAATCTTCATCTCTTCTCACACCAACTCGCAGTTTTAGCTCGTCTCCTCCAGAGACGAACACGACTGGCCAATGCGTATTAATTTCTTCATTCTGGCTATAGTAATAATCGGATCTGATTGCGATTCAAAAATCTGATAGATATGGCCATTCTCTATGTAAATGAGTTTCTGGTTCTTCTTCTCGTAACTTCAAAATTGTGGGATCGGTGGGGTTATTTGGAATACACTTTTAACAGCATTCTGGAAGCAAAATATTTTTGCTCTAGCTTATAATCTCTGAGATCTAGATGCTCACCGTGCCGGACGCGCAGAAGGACTGACGGCTATATCGACTGACTTATATATATCCTTCATAATACTTGATGGGGTCGTGTAACCAAAACAATAAGACTTACCTCACCCAATGTCGATACAACTGAACTGGTTTCCTGTAACCATCATCTTCTGGCGGAAGTGGGGGGGCTTTTAACTCTATTTCGTCCTCGACAATGCTTGCTTCGTTTGCTGGGGTCTCTGCTAAAACAATACTCTCTGATTTATGATCAGAAATCACACTCCCTGCTTTCGAAGGTGCAGCTTCAGTGGCTGGAGTAGCTACTGGTACTTCCTCCGTATCACCACCAGCGTCATCTCCCCATGGATCTTCTTCGTCTGCCATATTGCTGAAATATTGTTGTTGTGGTTTTATAAATATTCTGCATGAATGTTTATTTATAATACTATATACTATAAGCACTGACGATTTAAGAAATCTAAAACAATAACGATGATTATGATTTGTACCTAAACGTATTCAAGCTTCATCGTCCAGTATTTGTTAAAATTCCAAATTAATAATTTTGCTTAGATGGTTTTTATAAAAATATTTACTTTAAGCGAGGAGGAACGCTGTAAGACGCATTAGTACGCGTCACAGCTTTAATATCCGGTACTCAGTAAGTGAATACATACATACTTATGTATTCATGTAACCTTATGATGTAACCTTATAAATTTAAATTTTCATTTCTTCTACATCTTCCATCTACATATCCATCACCTTTCACACCAAACCGCTTCTATAGCTCGCTCCCAATTCGACAGAGCAGCACACAGCACAAGGCAAAAGAAAGTGAAAGAAAATTAGCAAGCATAGGTCGAGTTGCTGGACCGCGTGGGGGGTAACCACAGCAAATTAATTTTGTAGTTGTGGCTACAATGCTCATAATGATCCGATCCGATCCTAAATCTGATTGAAATGGCCATTCTCTACGGCGGTTTTTGTTTTTTATCGCATCTTTAAAATTGTAGATGCCACAGATTTTCTCCGTTTGCGTGGTCGGAAGGGGCGGATCCGAAATCTAAAAAATCTGTTGCTGTAGCTTAAAGCTTCCGTAAAGAATGGCCATGTCAATCCTGGTTAGATTGGGGTCAGTTTGGATTAATGTCATAGCAAGAACGAAGATATTGATTTGATGTGGATCCCTTCTGACACCCCTTGCAGTGTGCATTTTGTACATACAGTTGACTCAACTTACCGTTGAGTTAAAAGAATTCGATTTTTTTGTAATTTTGTATTGTTATACCCGGTACTCGAAGAGTAAATGGGGTAACATAATCATTTTTAGTATCCGATTCTGCATATTCACAAAAATAAAACTAGGTAGGTACAATCAGGTCAACATGACTAGGATTATTAGTGAATAAAGAAGTTAGTTAAATACCTTTACTATAGTGTTTATACTAATATAAAAGAAAAAAGACTAAATTATTTTCTTGCTGTTTGGATATAAGGCATTAAGAAACTATCTAACAATCTAAATATACAAAGAAAAGTGGAACATATATACTTGCTTACACACAAATTCTATATGTTGCCAATATTATTAACACCTATATTATTCCGTCTCCATAAAATGTCGCATAGTTTGTCCACATATTGTCTTTGAAACTGAAATTAATTAAAACGAGAAGGGCCGTGTGAGACACTTCTTGCGCGTCACAACTTTCATACCCGGCACTTAGTACTACATCTGTACCTTAGCGTTTTTTTTTGTACAATTTTACATTTTTTCTTCATCCGTCATCTACATCTACAACACTTCTCACGCCAACACGCTCCTTTAGCTCGCCCCCTTTCCTAGAGCCACACACTGCAGGGTCCCGGCAGAGGCATAGGAACGCTAGAGGCAGAGGCACACTGCAGAAGCAGAGTGTGAATGGGAGAATGTGAAAAAAAAACAAATATAAGCGGCGGGACGGGGTGGGTTAAGCCATGAAGCAACTATAAGGCGGTCTCGTCGGCGTCAGCGTTTCTCGTCTTATTTCCTAAAATTTGCTTGCCGACGCGGAAGATTGGGCACTCATTCCATTGTCGTTTCACTCACACTTACAGCGAGAGCCCTTTCCTCTCACTTATTGACAGCATTGTTAGCCTCCCTTATCTTAGCCGACGAGACCTCCTTATATAGTTCTTCATGGGTTTAGCGAAGGCTGAGGCAGAGGCATAGGAACGGCAGATGCCGCACACTGCGAGAAGCAGAGTGTGAATGAGAGAATTTGAAAAAACAAATATAAGCTGACGGACGGGGTGGGTTTATCCACTGAAATTTATTTTCATTTAATTTCTTCATTGTGGCTATAATAATGATCGGAATGATTCGGATCCCTATTTGGTGATCTGATAGATATGGTCATTGCCTACAGAATGGCGTTTAACAGTTTTCTGTTATCTTTAAAATTGTAGATTTGGGAGGTTTTCGCCGTTTTGCGCTGGCGTAAGGGGGGCGGGGCTAATACCAATCTATAGCTCTTATAGTCTCTGAGAACTAGCCGACAAACAAGACGGACGGACGGACAGGCGGACAGACAGAAATGGCTCAATCGACTCGGCTATTGATGCTTATCAAGAATATAGATACTTTATGGGGTCGGAAACGTTTCCTTCCGTGCGTTCCATACAACCGTTATTCGCACAAATACAATATACCCTATTTACTCTTTGAGTACCGGGTATAATAAAAAACGTACTTTACTCTACAATATAACCGACAACCATCTCTCCGACACAGACGTGGAAAAGTTTAAGTTGTCGATGGTCTACCTCAGACGTACCCTATCTGAGATCCGACTCGGAGTTACTCAAATCTCCTTTCCAAGAGCGGCGGCTTTTCTCCATTTCTCCAAGTCATGGAGGAGTAGAAACTCCTAGTGGCCAACCTTCACCGATTGTCCATCCGCCATGGAAGGATCCAGCCTTTCTCACGCCTTAAAACATAGTAGTGCCTCAAAAATCCATACCCCTGTCAATTTAACTCCATTGCCAGTGCTGGCATCCACAACAGCAACCAGCTTCCAGCTTGCAAATGTTTTTCCGGTCTCTTCTAGCCTCTTCTAGCTCCTCAGCTCCCGCACTGAGACTTTTAGGAGTAGCTGCACCAGCTCGGTATTCGGGAGTTCCCCGCAAAGCAATCTTTGTCTCCGTCTTATTCCCGAAGCCACACCGGATGATGTCAAACTACATCTAAGCTCTTATCTTCAATCGCCGCCTGATAACTTTATTTTAACTACATTTAATTATACACATAAGCGTAATATCTCATCTTGCAAAATTCTTCTTCCCGATTCTCTTGAATCCAAAGCTTTAGAACCGTCTGCATGGCCTGAGTACACTATTATGCATGAATTTCTGCCTTGAGATTATACCCAGAATCCTTGAGTTACTGTCCCTAAGATTTCAGAAAACTAAGGAACCATTTCTCCATTCAATATCAGAAATCCGATAATGAAATTTTCGTCCACAAGTTCACCACTTATATAATGGATCGTCCACAATTCGCTGGTGGGGTTCTTATTGCAGTGAAAACGGCTCGAGAGCGAGCAGAAAAGAGGGAGAGCGAGAGCGAGAGCGCAACTGTTAGCTGTTAGCAACAGTCCGCTGCTAACTCGCTGCTGCTACTTTCAACACCCAGTAATGTATGTAAGGCAGAGAAGGAAACGTTTCCGATCCCACAAAGTATATATATTCTTGATCAGCATCAATAGCCGAGTCGATATAGCCATGTTTGTCTGTCCGTCCCTCTGTCCGTCCGTCCGTCTTGCTGAGCGCCTGGATCTCAGAGACTATAAAAGCTAGAGCCAGCAAATATTGCATCCAGACTTCTGTATGCTCACACGCAAACCGCGAAAATCTGATGTGTTCACAATTTTGAAGATAAAAGAAAACTAAAAACGCCATTCAATATGGGAGGCCCATAATTATAGCCAGAATGAAGAAATTAATTTGAAGTGGCAAAACCAACCCTGTCGAGGGGTTTTTTAAATTTATTTTTTGCACATTCTTACATAAACACTCTTCTTCGTGTTTATGGTTTATGGCTCTAGGGGAGGGGCGTAGATGATGTAGATGACAGACGTAGAAAAGGTGTTAAATGTAAAATTTAAAATTTAAAAAAACTGCTGTGGTACAGGTGTACCAATGAGTACCGGGTATACCGCCTCACACGTGCTTTTTCAATAATTTTAGTATTTTGTACTAATTTTTTCAAGTACTAAAGCCAGAAATACTCTGGCGGTTGGGCGCACAAACCTCCAACAGGTACTTTTTTGACATTTTTCATTGTTTTGCGGTTGGTTGCGCAATTTTAACTCAGCCGAGCATTACTTTATATTTAAATCGCCGAATAAATGCACCTAAAAACCAAGAGGAGGATGCAGGATATATATATTTTCGACTTTTTAATGTCAAAATGTTGTAAGCCAAAACCTCAAACGGGGTTGGGGATACATTAAAGATGCATTCATCAGCTTTATAGAATGGTTAGGTTCATTACAAACAGATGTAAGATGTACCTAAGTTCTGTGAAAAAAACAACCGCTACCTCTAAAAATACTGTAGCATGTCACCTATAACAATAGTTGTTGTAGCTGTGCCACTCGAGCTGGTCGGAGGTGTAACCAATAAGGAGGGTGCACGCGCTGACTCCGGCTGTATGATCGGTAGAAGGGGGCTTTCCGATAATTGCTTATTGTTACGTGCTCGCATTGATGCTATTTCTTATTCATTTTTTTCGCGTGCAGACCTATGCTAGACCGTAGGGAAGGGAATGAGGGGGATAGGGGGATGACTTAGGAAAAGGTGAAGTAACCGGAAGGGGAAAACTTAACCACCGAAATACATATCCACCATGATTGACGGCTGCGCTGGTCTTGTTGCGGCAGTCCTTGCCCACCCAACCATAATCATCCTAAAAATTCCAAGAGATATATTAGTTTCGAATGATCCCTTTTTAGTCATGGTTATTCTATATTCCACACGGTGAACGTTGCATGGCTCCTTAATACAAAAATCTCTAGCAATTAATTTTCAACAAATTAATGATATATTTATTATAAATAATGAGAGTTCATTCCGAATATATGGGTATGTATGTATATAAAGAGAAAATTATAAGAAAAATTGTTTACCATCAAATTGTTTACCGTCAGTCCAGTTGAACTTGCTTTTAGATCTCAAAGTATCTGATATTGGTGCACTGATAGCTGCATAATTGTGAATGAACTTTTTGTACCAGCCCGTCATTCCGAGAAACCTTCGAACTATCGACTGGGGTACCGGGAAGTTCCTAACGGAGTCTATTTTGTCGGGATCGGTGCTAATGTTTCCACCTCCAATAACGTGCCCTAAGTATTTAACCTCTTTTCGGCAAATATATAGATATATCATCTAAATATATAAAGATTTCATTCCTTAGATGAGCTGGAATAAGTTTATCCATAAGTCGCGACATGGTACAGGGAGCGTTGGTGAGACCGAATGGCATAACTACAAATTCATATAAAGGACGGCCTGGCACCGTGAAGGCTGTCTTGTCTCGACTACCTGGATCTAGAGGTCAAAAAGCGTCCTTTAGATCAAAGCTAGTGCCGAATTCAGCTTTCGGTAGTCGGCTCAGGATTCCATCTATAAGAGGCATTGGATAAGCATCCTTTACGGTAACTGAGTTTACCTTCCTGCGGTCGATACACAGCCTAACTTTTCCAGGCTTCTTAACCAACACAACTGGCGAAGACCACGAGCTTGTTGATTCTTGTATTGCGCCAAGTTTGATCATGCGGTCTAATTCTCCGTACATTCATTTTTCAGGGGCAGGTGACACTGCATAGTGTCTTTGTTTGGTAGGCTTTGCATCGGCCACATCTATCGCATGAGTGATAATAGTAGTCTTTCCCAAACCTTTCTTGGAGTAGGATGGAAACAAATTTACTACCTCCTGGAGTAATATTTGTTGGGAAAGTAGGAGAGTCACCATTGTGGGGTCTTCCAAAGTTTCAATATTCAAATTCTTTGTCATAAGATGCAAGGGTAAAAGGTCAAAGATTGTCCAAAAATCAATTCCTTGATAAAGATAACTAATCAGGGAATATAGAAGCAAAGTTCCTTCGATACGTCTCTGTACGTTACTTTTGTATAAACCTTACCAATTATACTTTGGCTTTTGCCGTCTGCAGTTTTTACCTTCAGAAAAAGGGGCTTATATTTAATATTGCATCGAAGAACATCTGAAGCACAATTTCCTCCGATGCAGCTGACTGAAGCTCCAGTATCCATCAAACCTACTACTGGTTTACCAAAAAGCATAATCTGAGCATGAGGTCGTAAGTCATAAGGATTTCCAACTACAGAAGATAGAAGCAAATTTCGTTCAAGTTTACATTTTCTTTTAAATTCGGTTCTTCGGCGCTGAGATCGGCCTAGAGGTCTTATCAGTTTGCGTGCACTTTTCGGTGGTGCACGCAACAGCGAGTTTTTTGCAGT